GACAAGATCATCGTGGATTTTCGTCGGGGGTGATCCCTACCAAGGTATGTGAGCTTTTAGTGTTGGGTGATCCTTTCCCCCACACACCTAGCCCTTTTATTTATTGAGGAAGGATTGGATTCGTTGTTGAAGTTGTTGGTATTTGAGTTGTAATCTATGGTATGTTGAGGTATTTTTGTGCTTCCAAGTGTGTAGGCTGAAACCTTGTTTTGGGAGGGTTTAGAACTGGAGAAAAGGAGGAACCCAAAAATAGTCAGTTTCTCAGAAGCGATCGACGGACTAGAGGTACGGTTCGTAGATTGGTCTACGGACCGTCGATCCCCTCCGTAGTTCCACACTTAGAATTCTCAAAATTCAAGTACTAGAACCCTCACAGTATCATTCTACGGATCAACAGTACGGTCCGTAGATCGATCTACGGACCATCGATGGACACCGTGGTTCCACACTTGGCCATTTTTCCTGAATTGTCCTCAAATACCTTGCCTGCTGATCTACGGTCATCACCTACGGACCGTGAATGGACCTACGGTCCGTAGATCACTTCCGTCAAGGCCATGTTTCTGCATTTCTTATTTTACCTATGTTTCCGAGTTGTCTCCAACATTTCAAGTTGCATCTAAATGTTTAGAACTCATTCATAACAGGTGATTATATCCCTTGAATCCATAATTCAATTCAAGGCGAGTTAGAATCGAGTAAAGAGAAGTTAAAGTCAAGTCAAGCAAGGTTAAGAAGTTAGTTCAAACAGGTTTTCAAAGTTGTTCGAGAGTCTTAAATGAATGTTTTTACTTCATTCTAAGGCTCAAGTTGCAAGTCAAGTAAAGAGTTTAAAGTTGAGTTCATTTCTCAAAGTTATTAGGGAACTATGTATTCCCAAAGAAGTGTTTAAAGAAATGTTTTTACATTTAAACAAGGTTGGAAACTGAGATTTCCAAAAGAGCCTTCGGGCAAGTTTTTGAGTAATTATCTCATATCAGCAGGAAGAAATATGTTTTAAAAACATAAGAGCCAGTACATTTTTGGGAGTAGTATCGAGCACCGAATTGGGGAGCGTTCAAAGAACCCACAGCCCCCATAGAACCATGTTAGCCACCATGGGTAGAAAAGGATCATACTTTTTAGATGAATCCTTTTCAGATTAGACTAGTGGATCCATTAGGCAGTTCAGGTCCTATACCTTTGGCCGGGAATAGGATGCTCTGGCAGCGTGAGGTCGATCGCTGTATCATCACTATAGCTCTTATGTGATGGTTGTCGGTTAGAGAAACTCCCACAGCAGTTATTATATTTTCATACACAGAGATTATTGTATTTTTATATACATCAGTTCATTGTATTTCTTCTCCAGATTTCCTGCTAACCTTTGTTGCTTAGTTCCAGCTCGCATACACGTACATTCCATGTACTGATGCCAGTTGGCCTGCATCTTATTACGATGCAGACGCAGGTACCCAGGATCAGCAT